CTTTCTTTTATAGATCACAGCCGCACGTCAGAGTTTGCGCACAAGGTCCCGCCTCAGGTTCTACCCTCTACACGCCCACAYTCAACCATAAACAGTCAATGTAAAGTACCTCATAAATGTTAGGATGTATTTAAATCAGTCAGTTGGTCAATGCCAACAAAAGTGATTGGCACAGACATGCACTCCTTCGTGTGTCTGGAGGATGACAGGTGCTGACAACTGCTCACGTAAACAGAATGTAATTTTTTCCCTCATTTTGCAGGTTTACAGACGTTTAGAGAAATCTAATGATTTTTATCAAAAACTCATCTTCAAATTAATTTTCTCTCAGAGCCTGCAGGACGATAAAAACAATAAATAAAATTAAATAAGTCAATGTATATAAGTCTGATTTATGAAGTGAAATTAAATATCTGACAGTGATCATTACACAGGGTGGCTCTATTTCCTCACTTCACCATCTGTGTCGCAGTTTCACGTCTCCAAAATGAGCGTAGCATGGGTCAGAGCTGTGAGGGACCGCACATTTTCACGTCAAGTTTGGATTTTATAAATCACAACCTTTGTGTGAAAAGTGGCGTACGCAAGTTTCCGGGCTCATTTTGTGCGTACCCAAGCTTTATAAATCTGACCCCAGAAAACTAGTACTGTGTCCTAATTCATGAAACCTTTGAACTCACACAACCATTAAGATATATCAGTCATAAGGGCTGATTTTTAATTCACTTAACAGCTTAGAAAGAATTTAAAAATAACAACAGTACCATGAAAGCTGTTTTAATACTGTTTGACAGACTCGTGAAGCACTAATGAAGCGCCTCAGGAAGAAGGTAAGTGAACAACCACTGCATTTCCATGTTACGTACCAACAAATCCATCTGTTCACACATCTTTCTGTCTGATCTCCAGGCTCCAGTTTCCAGCATGAGTGAAAGCACAACCTCAACCACAAAAACAAACTTAGAGTCCTTTAAGAAATAGTCAACATCTTAACTCCTGGTGACACACAAGTAAAATTATAAATGATGCTTAATGAAATACAGTTTTCTGTGATGTGATCATTTCGTTTTGATTGTTTGTTGTTTTCATAATGGACTTTTAGTTTCAGCTCTTTACACTTTAAGATTAACTCGTTTAAACTGTATTTCACATTTATTTCTTCTGTGGTTAAGGTGACATACAAATGTCAAATGTGAATAAAGCAATATAGTGTCTTATGTATTCTATTTGATTTGCAGTAAGCTTTATGTGAATAGGCTTATGGTAAAAACAATAATTATCTAACTATATTGTGTTCTACAAGTCCTGTTTGTTCTGCCCATTCCTCATCTGTATCGTCAATGGAAATCCCTTCTTGAGCTGCTTTCCTGCGGTAGGCCTGACACTCCGTCTCTGCTCTGCAACATTCAAAAAACAGTGCAGCAGATTCAAATAATACTGTACTGTATTTAAGTTGTATTAAAGAAGACAAACAATATGGATTTGTGTCTTACTTTTGAAGGAATTGAAAACAGTCTTGGTGTCCATATATTTGGGCCAGCCTTGCTGGTTTGTCTCCACAGATGTCCTCCTTGTCTAAAGGTGCGTGGAGAGAGTGCAGCAGCCGCAGCACATCCAACCGACCAGACTCTGCAGCAAAGTGTGCCGGAGTCCATCCGTGCTCCGTCCTCAGACCTGTCCTGGCCCCGTGCTCTATGAGAAGCCTGGTGATCTCTGTATGTCCTGTGGACCAGGAAATACAGGGGGATCTGAAACATTGATTAAAAAGACTAATTTTGGAAGGTACTAATATTTCTCTACACACTGATGATAGTTTCACCATAAAAAACATCAAAATAAAATGGAACTCAATATCCTCATGTCCACATGTATACGGGGCGCTGTTTGTAAAGTTACACTGCCAAAAATTACCAGCAATATTTAGCTTTATTTAACCTTTCATAAGAAAAAAAAGGGGAGCATTTTTCAAAGTTTTACCTTGATATTCAAACATTTATAAAATGGTACTGAACTTATAGAGCGCTTTTCAAGTCCCTCCGGACCCCAAAGTGCTTTACACTAACAGACATTCACCCATTCACACTCACATTCACACACTGATGATGGCAAACTACACTGTAGCCACAGCTGCCCTGGGGCACACTGACAGAGGTGGGGCTGCCATGCACCGGCGCCACCGGACCCTCTGTCCACCATCAGTAAGGTGGGTGAAGTGTCTTGCCCAAGGACACAACGACTGAGACGGCTGGACGGGGGATCGAACCAGTGACCTTCTGGTTCCAAATGTCATAGTTCCAAACTAAAAAGCTAAATATTTACCTTGGAGATTAAATATTTAGTTTGCAAGCTAAATATTTAGTTTACATACTAAATATTTAGCTTGGAGATTAAATATTTAGTTTGCAAGCTAAATATTTAGCTACAACATAAATATTTAATTGGCAGCTAAATATTTAGCTTACTAAAAATTAAATATTTACAGTGCTAACTAAATATTTAATTCACAAGTTAAATGTTTAGTTTACAAACTACATACTTAACTTGCAAATTAAATATTTACTTAGTTAGCTAAATATTTAGCTGACTAAGTAAATATTTATATTATTTATGAATAAATATTCATTCACACCTGCTGTATATTACTGTAAATTGGATTACAGTAAAGTAACTGTAAAATAACAGTAAACTACTGTTAGGAAAAGACATCCACATTGTACTGCTTTTTTTAATTTATGTACTGTAATTTAATTTAACAGTATATTACTGTAATTTACAGGATGTTCATATTAGTTTACCAAATAAAATAAAATCTGCAAATTCCCATGATTCCATCCAAATTTACCAAATGAATAAGAAAGCAGATTCATCAAAATGTTTTTTTTTAATTTACAGAACAAAATGACATTTTTTAATGTCAATTTCATGACATTATGATTCCAACCTCAATTTTCAAATAAAAATTGTCATTAGTAGTATAAATTTCAGGTAAAATGGCAGCAACAACAGTGTGATGCTAAAGAAAGACAACAGAAATAACAGATTCAACAACAGTATAACAGAAATGCATCACAGACTAAATATTGTGTTTAGTTTGAAGGAGTTAAGCCAACTTGAGGTCATCCAGCCAAAATTGGACCTCAACTCGCCAGAAAGCTTCTGTCTTTTGCTGACACTGTCCACCTATGGGTGATCTTAGGATGGCTATAGATCACAACAAACCCTGGGAAATCAGGAACTGACTGTGTGCCCCTGTGAGCCTGAGCAGTGTAGTGGACACGCCCATTTCCCCTCACCTCATCTTGCCACTGATTGACCTTTGACCACCTGAGGTCAAAGCCCTCTCTTCACAGACTGAACTCTTTCAGCTCTGATGCAGAGCTATTAAAAAACAAGCCTTTTCACTGTCCGCCTTTCTCTTGGGAAAGTTGGTGTTCTCAAGGGTCTGTTAATTTGCTGATAAAAACAAGTCAAAACAAACGTTCTGTTTGTTTCTGCTGTTCCTCTCACATGGATAATTCAAGTGCATAAACCCTTTAAAATGTTTGACTTTGTGTCTTTAATTTTTCAAGGGCTCTTTAGTACTAGTTATGTTACGACTCTGCATTTGATGTGATTTTATTGTTTAGAACATGTTTAGAAATGATGATTTAGTGTTAACAGAATATGTTTGTTTCAACCAATGCTTATGCTTCAATCTTTTCACATCTTCTATTTTTAATAAACATTACTTAATCATTTTATTAGTTTACTAATAGTAGTTCATAG